CTAAAAAAAAAATTTCCTAAAAATTTTTATTTATTTTGTTCGAAGATAATTATTTTCGAACAAGAATAAATCTAATAAAAATGAGTTTTAAAAAATTCTAATGAAACAATTATAAGACTCAGTTTTTTATAAATATTGCAATGTAAATTTAAGAAAATAATTGAATTTCTTTAAAGAATTTTTGTACAATTTAGAAGAAACTAATTTTTTGTTGAATTATATTAAAAAAAGGTTGATGTTCATTCTTAAAATTAAAATTCTTCATATAAATTTGATTATTTCTTTTTATATTTTTCAAAAAATTAATTATTCTTAAAAGATTGATTTTATTGAAATTTCTGAAAACAGTTTAATTTCTGCTAAGAATTTTATTACTTTTGAAAATAATTGAATTCTTGTTGATATATATATGTTTTTTAGGTAAATAATTGAATTTTTGGCGCAGGCATTTTATTAAACTTTTTGAAAATAATCGAATTTCTACGAAGAATTCTGCTATTTATAAAAATAATTGAAAACGTGACGAGGATTTAAAAAGAATTTTTGAAAATAATTAAATTGCTGAGAAGAATTTTTGTATTTTTGAAAATAATTTAATTCTTTCTACTAATTTAAAAAAATTTGTTTTAAACAATAATTGCAGTTTTTATTTACATTTTTAGACTTTTTAAAATTTTGGAGAATTCATGTTCATTTTTAAAATTAAAATTCCTTCATAAAAATATGATTATTTCTTTTTATATTTTTCAAAAATTCAATTATTTTTAAATACTTTTTACACTATGTAAAAATCGAAATAAATTGCATTTTATATCAAAAATTTTGTTATTGTGTCAAAAGTTGGAAGAAAAGTCGAAAAAGTATCAATTTTTGAAAAGAAGTCTAAAAAGTCATAATATCCTTAGCGTGAGGGAAGAATTTCTTTACAATTATCGTGTTTTTGAAAATTGATTTAATGTTGCGGCAAGGCATCATCACTCTTTGTAATTCCGGGACAAGCTTGCAATTTGCTTTTCATTAGTTTATACCCGCAAAGTGAAATACGTTCTTGAGATACTGGCATATTCTATGCATTTGAGATGAGAGAAGAAATGCATTTCTCCTTGCGGATATCCGGGAATCTAGTGTCTAGGGTCTTTGATTCCAGAGTCGTTTCCTGATTTGGTACAATTCATCGATTCCATAGGTCCATGGACCTGGTTTTGATAGGCCAATCGGTTCAACGAATTGAACTTTGATCGACTCACAGAGTTGAACAAGGAGAAACGATAGGAAACTGGAGACGAGATTTATCGATCCGTTATAGCCATCTCTCTATACATAGTGTATGCATTTGTGGTCGATGCCTCCAACGGATTTAAACGAGTCGTTGCATATATAGAGATTGCGGTAATTCTTGATCCGGATTTCATTCTACTTACTCCGCAATAAGAGTCTTTTGTTTTGCTCTCTAAACTTCCCTGATAAAACTCTTTTTTTTTCCTTTCTGTTTTTTTTTTGGAGGGAAAAAAATCTCCAACTTTTTATTATTGGACCGAAAAGGAACAAAAATAGTTGTTGGTTAAAAGAATTTTAAATAAAATATGCGGGTGATTCTTCACTCAGTGATCACTTTTTATTTTCCACTGTTTTTCTATTTAATAACTTTGGAAATTATTTTTAAATCTGCTTCAAACTTTTTTACAATTAATCTTCATTATGATTTTTAGTAATATTTTAGTCGAAAAAAATTTCTTTTTTTAAAAAAAGTTATGAATTTTTTTTCCCTGATGACTCTAAAGAATATTCTGATTTACTCTAAGAATGATTAGATACTCAAAAAAATGTTCTATTACATTTATTAACGAATTGCTTTATTTGTAAAATTATTCGAAAAAAATCAATAAATTCTTTTTTAAATAAATATATTTAATCATTATTATTTTTTCGTAGGAATTAAAATTCTTTAAAACTTTTAAATTCAAACCTTTTTGAAATCCAATAATAATAATTTATAATAATAATAATAATAATAATAATAATAATAATAATAATAATAATAATAATAATAATAATAATAATAATATACGTCTGACTAATAATTTACTTATACTACTGAAACGGTAAAGAAATGTTAAATAATAATAAATATACGTCTGACTAGTAATTTATATCTACTACTAAAATGGTGAAGAAATGTTGAATAATAATAAATCTAGGTCTGACTTATAATTTACTTCTACTACTAAAACGGTGTCAAAATGTTGAATAATAATATTGAATAAACGCCTGATCTATAATTGTGTTCTACTACTGAAACGATACCATTAATATTTAATAATAATGCTAATAATATTACACGTCTCAGAAACAATTTACTTTTACTAATAAAACAATTATTTTAATAATGATAATAATAATAATATACGTCTGACTTATAATTTACTTCTACTACTGAAACGGTAAAGAAATGCTAAATAATAATAATTATACGTCTGACTAGAAATTTATTTTTACTACTGAAACGGTAAAGAAATGTTAAATAATAATAAATATACGTCTGACTCATTATTTACTTCTACTACTGAAATGGTAAAGAAATGTTTTATAATAATAAATATATGTCTGACTTATAATTTACTTATACTACTGAAACGTTAAATAATAATAATAATGATAATAAATATAGGTCTGACTAGTAATTTACTTCTACTACTGAAACGGTGAAGAAATGTTGAATAATAATAATAATAATATAATAAAAGATATACGTCTGATCAATAAATAATTGAATTTTACTACTGAAACGATAACATTAATAATAATGATAATGATAATATTACAAATCAGACTAATAATTTATTTTTACTACTAAAACAATAATTTAATAATAATAATAATAATAATAATAATAATAATAATAATATTATGTTTTGTAATAATTAAAAATCACTGGGTGCTAAAATCATTATTTTATATTATTAGAATTAATTTCTCATAAAGAATTATATCAACAAATTTTTAAATAATTGAATTTCTCACTAAGAATTTTATCAACAAATTCTTAAATAATTGAATTTTTTCGACGAATATTATTTAAATTTTTAAATATAATAGAATTTTGGCGAAAAATTTTGTTATTTCTAAAATTCATTGAAATCTTGACGAGAATTTTGAAATATTTTTGAAAATAATTTAACTTCTTCGAAGAATTTTATTACTTTTGAAAATAATTGAATTCTTGTGATGAATATGTTTATTTCAGAAAAAAATTAAATGTTAGGCAAGAATTTTATTAAAATTTTGGAAAATAATTGAATTTATACGAAGAATTTTGCTATTTATAAAGATAATTGAAAACTTGATGAGAATTTACAAAAAAATTTTTGAAAATAATTGAATTTTTGAGAAGAGTTGTATATTATTTTCTAAAATAATTCAATTCTTTTGAAGAATTTTAATAAAATGTTTAAGAATAATTGTAGATTTCGAGGAATTCAATTAAAATTGTAATAAAAATAATTGAATTTCTGCCAAAAATTATATTACTTTTGAAAATAATTAGGAATTCTTATGAAGAATTTTATTTGTGAAAATAATTGAATTTTTGGCAAGAATTTTATTACTTTTGAAAATATTTGAATTCTTGTGATGAATATTGTTATGCATAAAAATAATTAAATTTTTGGCAAGAATTTTATTAAAAGTTTTGAAAATAATTGAATTTATACCAAAAATTTCATAATTTTCAAAGATAATTGAAATTTTTGATCATTATTGAATTATTACTGTGAAGAATTTTATCATTTGCAACTTTTCTCCAAAATTTAATTTTTTTTGTGTTGTTAACTAAAATTCTTCTACAAATCCATAATTTTTAATAAATAATTAGACATATATATTTAAAAAATGTAACTAAATGCAGAAGAATTTGGATAAATAAAATTTTTTTAAAAATCAAAGTCTTTAAAGTTTCTAAATAAATTCATTCAAAATTGAAATTTTATAAAGTTTCAAATTAAAATCTTTTGAAATTTATCGATTTATAATTTTATATAAAAATTGTAAACTCAACTCTTTTAAAATAAATCAATTTTGAAATATTGAAGTAAACAAAAAAGACATCGTAATTCAGAATTTTCTTATGAATTAACTAATTTTTTCCTGTGCCTTTCTTCGCAGTGAAGAATTCAAAAAATTATCTGCTATTTTCCATGAAATTGTTTATGTTTATTTGAAAATTAATTTTTTCAATAAAATTGATTAAATTTCATTGACTATTAAATAATATATTAATTATTAAAAATTGATTAAGTTATTATAAATTAAATATAATTTCATTACATTCTTTAATTCTTCGGAGCAAAGAATTTATTTGAAATTGATAAAATTGTATCTATTTCAAACAAATAAAATATTTAATTTTTATTTAAAAAAAATTGTACTTATTTTTAACAAATAAATGAAAATTTATTCGAAGTAGATAGAATTTAAGAGAATTTAGATACTTTTTTTTTAGAAACAAAATGTTAAATTTTACAGTAGCTTTAATATAAATTGCTTCACGCATTATTAATTAGTCTAACTAACTTATTAATCTCGAGTGCAACTGACTACAAGTGTAACTGGTTGGGAAATTGACTAGAAATCTAGTTTGCTTTGTCCCTAACACTAATGGATGTTAACAAGTAATCTCAGTTTGGTTTGTACAGGAAATAGAGCAGCAACTAACGTATTTTTTTTGAATTTCAAAATAAATTCCTTCATTTCTTCTTGCTTTATATACAGTAAAATAGAAAAAATTTACCTTAAAAATTTGAAATGAAAAATTTAATTAAAAAAAAAATTACCAAAGTAAATGATTGAAAGTTAAAAAAAAGAGAAGTAGAAAAAAAGGTAGAAAAAAGTAGGAAAAAGTAGAAAAAAGGTAAAAGATAAAAGAATGTAGAAATCATAGACTTCAAATACATTTTTTAAAAAGATATTTATTATAATAAATAATAAATTAACAAATTAAAATTTTATTCGCTAATTGAATATTCCATCAATTTGGCATTACATAAACGATCATAATCATTTTTTCCCATGTTAATTGTTTTCATTACTAAAATAAAATCGACATTATTTTTAAATTGTTGAAAATAATTTAACGGCACATTTCCTTGATTTAAACCAAGTTTTACACTCCATTTAGCAAATGGACTCACTATAAAATTCCCATTTGTAAATTCGTCTACAGTAATATTCTCTGAATCAAGTTCAAAGGACTGAGTGAAATTAAATGCCTCTTTTAATATAAAATCAACATTTTCATCACATTTATATAATTTTCCATTAATATACGAAATATTGATGTGAGAAAATTTCAATTTTTCATTTAAACTATTTTGAAGGCTGTCATTTTGTGCTTTTAGAAAGAATCGAATATCTTTAATATTGACGAATGTTTCATTTTTTATCAAATTTTCAATATGAGAAGTTAGTGTCACTTCCTTTCCATCCAATAAATCTGATATTAAATTATTTGATGTCTCATTTTTCCAGTAAACTGATTCCACTTTTTCGGTTAATTTACCATAGTTAGTCTGTAGGATTTTTTGTATTATTTTTAAATTATTTTTTACTTTATTGATTATTTGATCTTTTTCTTCGGATTTTCTTTGATTTTCAATGGTAACTGTAGTTATTTCGGATGACAAATGTCGGAGGGAGTTATACAAGGTTTGATATTGAACAAGGGCGGAATTTACTAAATTTACATCTTTTATTTGATTGATTTTCTCTTCTAATTGTTTATTAGAGGAAATAATCGAGAGTTTCATTCTCTTTTCGTATGTTTCGATTTCAATGTAAATTTCTTTTAGAGTGTCGATACTATGATAGAAAATTTCCATCAGAGTTTCGTTAAATTCGATGTATTTTAGATTCACATTAACGTCATTCGACAAAAATTGTTTGAGATTTGTGAGAAACGATGGTATGTGAAATTCAGAAACTTTGAAATCTGTAGTATTGTCAAGAAATTGTTCTCTTAACTTTTCCATCAGTGGTAGTAAAATAGATATAAATTTTTCCTGATACATTGATAGGGTAGAATTTTTACCTTTTGGTGTTATTAAATGATAGCCATTCGTCTTATAAGTATCGACGAAAGAAAATGCCATTTGAAGATTATTTCTCATCTCCTGTGGTATTTGAAATTTTATGAAATTATCAGAATTTATTGAAAATATTTCCATTTGTGTGTTAATTGCTTTGAGGGAAATTAATGCATAGGATGATAGACTACCCGTTGCTAGAGCAACAGTTTTTAATAGTGACAATAGAAAATGAGTGTGACTCAATTTTATGCTTATTTCCTTCAAGGGGATTTGTTCTCCAATTATTTGAAAAGCTATCTTTTGGATTGTGAATTTAAGATTGTATAATTCGACTTTAATTTTAGTGTCAATGAATTTGAAAGTATTCTTGATTTTAATTTCCAATCGTTCCATGTTTAGTTTGTCGGTATTGTTCGATTTTTTTGATAAAGTGTCTAAATTCTGTTCTAGATTACTCAACAGTTGTTGTATGTTAATTTTGTCATCGTTTAATTTTTCGAAATTTGAGACTGTGTTGTTAATGATCGTTTCGGCAAAACTGACAACATTTTTTGTATCTTCTTGAGAATTGTTTTTGTAATTTTGAACTCTGCTTCTTAGGGATTCGTACAAAGGGCTAATGACCACAGACGGTAAGCTCAAGTACAGCTCTTCAAGATCTAATAATTCTTCCAAAAGACTAAGTGCTTGGTACTGTTCGTTAATTATTTTGTTGTTAACAACTTGATCATAGAAGAGAACTAGTTTCCCCCTTTTAGTTTTGTCTTTCATTTCTGAGAGAAGAAACTTTTTGTAATCATTAACAGCGTACGGTAATTCCCTATAAACTTGTGAGTCTTCGGGTTCGACAAGTGCCTCCGAATTCGAACCATCTGTCCCATTTTTACCAGATGGAGCAAAAGTATTAACACTCTTCAATGAACCGATCACTTCTTTTAATATTTCTCCAGGATCTGAACAGCAGGACATTTCTACATAACCACCGTGTTGACCCCCCTTTCCTCCCCTACCACCACTTCCTGGCGAACCTTCAGAACCATCATCAGTTATCATTTTCTCTTCCGTTGGACCACTTTCCCTCAATTGGTACAAAAATATTTGCCCACTCTTTCCTCCCCTACCACCTGCACCACCATCTCCACCATCACCACCATCAGATCCCATTCCCCCCTCAACAATGCACTTTCTAACATTATCCGTACAAACATTCCATTTATTTTCCAATAAAGCATCAACAGTCTCAATTGATTCGCCGATATTCGGAATTTCTCCTTGAACACCATTCCCACCGCTGCCACCATTTTGACCATTGCCACCTACTCCTCCGTTAGCCGCAACAATAAGTGAATCTATATTTTCGATTTCATCCGCAAGGGCAAAAAATACACCACCAGGTCCACCTGGATTGCCAGCATATCCATTATTTCCGTTTATTCCCATTTGTCCATTTAATGCATCACTTGGTATCCATTCCCTGCCAGGTGCTCCAGTCAAATTTATCAATCTTGGTCCTAAAATTTTTATTTTCGGCGCAAATACCACCAACTGGAAAGATTCTCCTGGACGAATTAAATCTTGATTTATTAAAATTTCATCTGTTGCAAATATCTCCAAATATTTTACTTTCCCTTTGCAGACACTCTCATCAATGTCGCTGAACTTAACAACACTTCCTCGAATTTCCAACTTGTAAATATCATTTTCTTCTTTACTTATAGTATCACATTTTACAGTTGTAAACTCCGATGAAGCATTCTGTAAGAAAAAAATTTTACTTTAAAAAATTATAATAAAAAATTATTTAAAAAAAATTATCAAAAATTATTTAAAAAAATTATTACCAAAAATTATTAAAAAAAATTACTTTAAAAAATTATTTCAAATATTATTACACCAAATAGAAACTATACATTAAGAAAACAATATATTTGAATCAAACGTAATTGTCTTTGTTATACAGACAACCAATAATTATTTCTGAATTAAACAATAATTTTGATTTCACACATAAATTTGATTCAATAAAAATTATGTTTAAATCAGTTGTAGAATATAATATATAAAATATGTTTGAAATTAAATATTATTTAATTTAAACATATTTTTTTGCCTCGCTTCTTATTTTTAGAAGAAAAAAAAATTTTTCTCAGTGCAATTTAGTTGGAAATATAAAAATTTTATAATTAGATGAATTCTTACATGACTAGGAGGTTCCACTGATCGTCCCAAGTGTTTAATTTCACCATTTGGAAAACACAATATGGTACAAATTTCATATGTAAATATAAATAACAATATAAATAGTTGCTTCATTTTTCCAATTCCCTTGATATTGAACAGAAACTTCTGAAACACGAACGTTACGTAACAAGAGTTTTAAAATACATTCTAAATAAAAATTTTATAATAAACAGTTTCAAATAATAAATTTTTTCATAATCAGAATATTATTAATTTTGACAACTTGTCAAAAATTTTGAAATTAATAATATTATTAATAATAATTTTTATTCACAAAAATTAGGTAAAATATCTTTAAATAGAAATTTCAACCCCTCACCCTTCTTCCAATGTAGCAAATATTACATAAATTTATATTACTTTTTCTTGACCGCATTCCCCGTCTTAGACTAAAAAAAAATTTTATATGATTCAAATAACCGATTACTTATCTATAAATATTTATTTGAATCAAATAATTTTTATTTTAATCAATTAAATTGTATGTAAACCAATACTTCCAGTATTTAAAGCAAATATGAATTGAACCATTCAATAAATTAAACCATTTATATAAATAAAAATTATATGATTCAAGAAAAAAATTTAATTGACAGGCTTCGGATATTATGAATTTTACCATTTTTTTCGACTTTTTAGACCATTTTCAAAAATTGCGACTTTTTTCGACTTTTCTTCCAAGTTTTGACACAAAAACCACATTTTTGGTATAAAATGCAATCTATTTCGATATTTATAGTGTAAAAAGTATAATTATAGATAAATCTTGAAAAAAATTATTTTTGAATGATTTTTCCAATTAAATTTTTGAAATATAGAATTAAAAAATATTTCCATAATTGAAAGGTTATAAAATTTAACTGAAAATAATTGACATTTTTCAAGTATTTTATTACAATTATTGAAAATCAACTTTTGAGGAGTTTTAATTGTAAATTTTGAAAATAATTGAATTCTCAAAAATTTCAATGAAAAATCTTCAAGTGTAAATTTATAAATATGAAAATTAATGAAAATTAGCTTCTAAAAATTATATTAAAATATTTTTGAAAAAAGTAATACTTATAGAATTTTTTCCATGTAATTTTTTAAAATTCAATTATTTTCAATAATTTTAATTACATATTTCCGAAAATTCAAATACGTACAAAAAATAATTACATTAAAATTTTTTAAGAATTATTTTTAACACTTTGGAGAAAACAATCATGTTCTACATTTTTTAATAAAATTCAACAAAAAATTAATTTCTTTTAAATTGTACAAAAATTCTTTAAAGAAATCCAATTAGTTACAATTTTTTTTTATAAATTTCTTCGCAATTATTCAATTATTTTCATAAATAATGAAAGTTTTCACAGAGATTCAATTATTTTTATAAATAATTGCAATTCATTGCAAAATTTCAATTATTTTTAATAATAAAATTCTTCGTAGAAGTTCAATTATGTAGGTATTAAAAATAAAAAAGAATTTTTTATTAAAAATTTCAATTATCTTTATAAATAAGAAAATTCTTCTCCGAAATTCAATTATTATTAAAAATTTTAATAAAATTCTTGTCTTTTTTGAAAAAAGCAATACTTATAGAATTTTTTCCTTGTAAAATTTAAACTATTTTTAAAAATATTTAAAAAGAATTCAGTTACTTAAAAAAAAATTTTTAATAAAATTCTCTTCACAAACATTTAATTATTTTCATAAATAATAAAAATTTCTTAAAAATTCAAATATTTACAAAATTTTTTTAATTTCTTAGCAATAATTCAATTATTTTCATAAATAATAAGATGCTTCGCATAAATTCAATTGTGTTCAACATTTTTTAAAAATTTCTATTATCTTTATAAATAAGAAAATTCTTCTTCGAAACTCAATTATTTTTAAAAATTTTAATAAAATTCTTGTCAGATATTAAATTATTTTCAAAAAATTTCCAAAAGAATTTAATTATTTAAGAATAATTTTCTCCAAAATTTTAAAAAGTCCAAAAAAGTAAATTTAAAAAAATTTTAAGAATCTAATTTTTTGTTGAATTTTATTAAAAAATGTTGATGTTCATTTTTAAAATTAAAATTTTACATAAAAATTTGATTATTTGTTTTTATATTTTTCAAAATTTCAATTATTGTTAAAAGATTTTACCAAATTTCAATTATTTGGAAATTTTTTAATTCTATAAATTAAAAACCTATAAAGTTTAAAAAATTATTTTAAAAAATATTTAAAAAATTAATTTTAAGAATTTTTTTATTATAATTTTTTAAAAATCAGTTAATTTCAATATTTTTGGTTAAATATTTTCAGTAATTCATCTTAATAACTTTTATAAAAAAGAACAATAAACAGTTACAGTCACAATAATTATGGAAAATTGAATTTTTGTATTTAAATAATTGGAAGAAGAATTAAAAATAATTGATTTTGAAATGAAGTTTAGTTAAAAATTGTAGAAAATAATTTAATTTTGGAAGGGTTATAATTGTAATTTTAAGAAATTATTTAATTTCAGAAGGTTTTAATTTGAAATTTTTATAATTTTATTTCCCATGGAAAAACAAATAAAAATTATTTAAATATTTATTTACCAAAATTATTCAAGTTTTGAAAAATTGAATTTAAAAATCAGTGAAAGTGGAAAATCAAATAAATTTTTTTCTGTTTGTAATTTATACCCATAAAGCCCCTTTATTGAAATTTCGAAAATTATTTCAATATTAAATGAATTTTTATTTATAATTAATTACATTAAAGTATAACATAACTAATATCAAAATTCTTGAGAAAATTATTTATTATTTATTAAATATTTACTGATAATTTTGTACTTTACTTCGCTCTTTTTAAGTATAGAAACTAAAAGTTGAAAAGTTGTTTCGAAATGTTTAAAAAGTTTATCTTTGAAAGTAAAATAATTATTGTTCTCTTAAGATAAATATAAAACTTTTATATACTTACAATGTATGTACCGTAAGAAAACACTATTATTTTCTAATATAATTTTTCGTAGACGCACTTATATATATAATAGGCACATTACTATAATTAGATGACATTCGACATGTCTAACAATTGTTTCAATATTTACTTATGTCAAATTTATAAAATATACTATTTCCTTGTAATAATTTAAAAAAATAAAACTTTTACAATAATGTACTAAAAATTTAATACAGAATATATTTAAATATATAATTAATTTTAAGTATGATTAAATTTTTTTCTATGTACAGATGGCTACAATATTAGAAAATTCTATATGTAAAATATGTACAAAATTATAATTATTGACATTGAAAGAAAAAATTATTATTCTATAGTATATCATTCATGATTTTTATTTTTTTTTTTTTTCTAAATTTTGAAAAGATATAACTGTTGTAGCCCATTTTTGGAAATTTTAACCCCCACCCTCGCTATACAGAGCAATTTTTTTTACTGTTCGTAGTAAATAGCTTCCCCCCTGAAGTGTTACTTAGTTTATAAACGACCCTAATGGTAAAAATTAATTGCTTAATATTGGTGTAAAGAAAAAATTAAAAATTACTCAAAACTTCATTATTATTATTAAATTATTAGGTAAAACAAATTGAAAATTTATATCGACATTTATTGATTTTGAGTTTAACGAAACCTCAAATTTTAGGTCACTAAGTGAATAGAAACTTAATGGGAGTGTCCACGGAGTGTCAAAGTCAATTATATTTTTCCATTCAAAATTTTAAAAATTGCATCGACATTGACAGCCCTTCAAAATTTGAATTATAGACCGTAACGATAATTAAACAATAATTCGCAAGTCAAAACTTTTGGAAACCTTAAAATTAGATTAAAAAATTAAATATACACGAAAAAAAGTATTATCTGGAACAAGGAAAATTTTATCTAAAATAGCGAAAGTCTTAAAATGAAGCAACTAAAAATTTCGTTAATATTAACTGAGAGGAGGGGGGGGGGTCGATTTTAGCATGAAATTCTATGTATTTGTAAAATTTTAAATTATACATTATTCAAGGTGTATCATCATATTTTATTTTGTCTATTGTTTTTATTATTTATAAAGTGCAACTATGATTGCAGTACACGGAGAGACCGAGATTACTAATTTTTGTATAAAATCACACTAGAATTTACTATTTTCACATTGCAACCACCGGAAATAAGGGGACTTTTTGTATTTTTTACTATTTTCTACACTAAGTCACTAATCCCGACAAATGTTCACCAAATTAGCAAAGTTTCTTACTATTTCGTCCAATAGTTCCAAACAACTGTAGTAAACTCAGAAGCATTGTGTACGTAAAATTACTACAGTCGTTTGTAAATGCAGAAAGAAAGAGTGAAAGAAAAAATACGGATTTTTGTCGCCGGTTTCCCGTCAATTCTTGACTAATGGAGACAAACTGGAAGGATTTTTACATACACAGACACACACACACTTATATATTTGAAGACACACACATGTTTATTTCACTGTATATATAGACGCGGTTAATTAATACACTAATACACAACTGCACGCACGACAACGAATTTCACTGAAAGTATACATCTTTGTTTCCTTATATATTGAATGATGAAAATTTACAGCACTTACGAGAAAGCAGTTTACTTTTAACAACTTATTATAAGACATAGTTCTTGGGACAGGAATAAATGCAAAGTTTATTAATTTATAATGGTCAATTTCTGAGATACCGAACGACCTACGTTTCACTTTATATTTAATTATTGTAGATAATATCCAAATTTATTTTACATACGCGAAACATAGTCACTGTCAATGATCGGATGGCATCGGTTCATTTACGGAGATTGACGAAGTTAGCAACCAATAGAAATGCAGGCGCCATATGACTGCACTCGCTAGCCACACTTGCTCACCAAAAATTACTACAGTGGATCGTAGGTTTTAGTGGAAAATGTTTTCATTTGTCAGATTTTGTCTAATTAAATTAGAGAAAACTATAATCAATTTTTGCTACATTTACAACTCTTACACAAAATATTAAAACTTGCTATTTCAATGTAGCAAATTTATCTATTTCTTTTGTAAATTTATCTAATTCTGTAGCACATTATGCTAAAAGTCCCCTTATTTCCGGTCATTGCAACCATTTTTAGTAATTTTTACGAATGTGGGTCTCTCCGTGTATTTAAGTAACGAGATGAAGAATACAGACAATGGTTCATTATAAAATTTTCTTGTATTCTTTTTCCACTTTCAATTTAAACTAAGAATACTCGACTTTATTATTCCAAGCGCGTGAGTTTGAATAATAAGGAACCACTCATTTTCTACTTTTCCAGCAATTTTAATCCTGCGGTTATAAAGTTCCAATGTAAAAGCAAAAAGGGTGCTTTACTTTTGAGACAGTTTTACTGTCTTGAGAAAAATTGCAATATTGTGATTATTTTAATATTTATTTTCTATTCATAGTAATCACTACAATAATTCTAATAATAATAATCATCATAATACACAACCTTAAATTTTTTTTTATTTCTGAGAATAATTTCTTTTTCAATAAATTAATTCTTAAAGAAGTATTATAAAATTATTACTTAAAAATTATTTCACGAATAATTTTACTTAAACATTTCAAAATTAATTGAATTTTAAATACTTAAACATTTATTAAGGTGTTTCATAATTATTTGAATTTTAAAAGAATTGCGATTACAATTTTCATAAATGAATTAACTTTAAAATGTTTCAATTTTAAATTTTATAAAATTTCAATTTTGAATGAATTTACTTGGAAATTTTAGAGAACATAGATTTTTGAAAAAATTTCAAAATTCAAATTCTTCTAAAATTAGTTAAATTGTTTATGAGGTACCTATTTAATTAATCATTTAAAATAATGAATGTATAAAAGGATTTTAATTAAAAACACTAAAAAAAATTGAATTTTGGAGAAGATACAAATACTTGCAGAAATTCAATTATTTTCAAAAGCAATAAAAATCTTCACAGTAATTCATTTATGTTCAAAAATTTAAAAAATTTATCGTGAAAATTTCAATTTTCTTTAAAAATAATAAAATTCTTAGAAATTCAATTATTTTCGTAAATAATAATATTCATCACAAGAATTCAATTATTTCCAAAAGTAATATAATTCTTCGCAGAATTTCAATTATTTTTAATACAATTTTAATTGAATTTCTTAAAAACTGCAAATATTCTTAAAAATTTTATTAAAATTCGTCAAAAAAATTCAATTATTCTGGAAAATAATAAAATTATTTAAAATTATTTATTTCTGAGAAATTCAATTATTTTCAAAATTTCTTTAAAATTCTCATCAAGTTTTCAATTATCTTTATAAATATCAAAATTCTTCGTAGAAATTCGATTATTTTCAAAAAATTGTAATAAAATTCTGGACAAAAATTCAATTATTTTCTGAAATAACCTTATTCATTACAAGAATTCAATTATTTTCAAAAGTAATAAAATTCTTTGCAAAAATTGAACTATTTACAGAAATTTCAATCAAATTCTTTTCAGGGTTTCAATTATCTTTAAAAATATTAAAATTCTTCTACGAAATTCAATTATTTTCAAAAGCAATAAAAATCTTCACAGTAATTCATTTATGTTCAAAAATTTAAAAAATTTATCGTGAAAATTTCAATTTTCTTTAAAAATAATAAAATTCTTAGAAATTCAATTATTTTCGTAAATAATAATATTCATCACAAGAATTCAATTATTTCCAAAAGTAATATAATTCTTCGCAGAATTTCAATTATTTTTAATACAATTTTAATTGAATTTCTTAAAAACTGCAAATATTCTTAAAAATTTTATTAAAATTCGTCAAAAAAATTCAATTATTCTGGAAAATAATAAAATTATTTAAAATTATTTATTTCTGAGAAATTCAATTATTTTCAAAATTTCTTTAAAATTCTCATCAAGTTTTCAATTATCTTTATAAATATCAAAATTCTTCGTAGAAATTCGATTATTTTCAAAAAATTGTAATAAAATTCTGGACAAAAATTCAATTATTTTCTGAAATAACCTTATTCATTACAAGAATTCAATTATTTTCAAAAGTAATAAAATTCTTTGCAAAAATTGAACTATTTACAGAAATTTCAATCAAATTCTTTTCAGGGTTTCAATTATCTTTAAAAATATTAAAATTCTTCTACGAAATTCAATTATTTTCAAAAATTGTTATAAAAGTATTGACAAAATTTCAATTTTCTACAAAATTTTTTCTCAATTTAATGGTTTTTTAATAATTAATATTTTATTAAAATTTCCCAAAAGAATTCCATTATTTTTAAAAGTAATAAAATTCTTCGCAGAAATTCAATTATTTTCAAAAATACTTTTAAATTCTTTTTAAGATTTCAATTAAGGAATTAACTTTAGAAATAGCAAAATTCTTCGACAAAATTCAATTATTTTTAAAAATTTTAATAAAATTATTGTCAAAATTTCAATTATTTTTAAAAATAATAAAATTCTTCTCCGTAATTCAATTATTTTTAAAAATTTTCAAAATGAATTCAATTTCTTTAAAAAAAATTTTAATAAAATTCTCTACACAAACATTTAATTATTTTCATAAATAGGTAATAAAAATTTTAGAGAAATTTAAATATTTACAAAATTTTTTTTTTTATTTCTTATCAATAATTCAATTGTTTTTATTAATAATAAAATTCATTGCAGAATTTTAACTATTTTCCTAAATAATAAAAATCGCGCAAGAATTCAATTATTTACTAATTTTTTTTATAAATTTCTTCGCAATAATTCAATTATTTCATAAATAATAAAACTCATTGAAGAATTTCAATTATTTTTAAGGCAATTTTAATCAAATTCCCCGAAAAATGAAATTCTTCTTAAAAATTTTATTAAAATTCGTCAAATGAATTCAATTATTTAAAAATTTGTTGATAAAATTCTTTACTTATGAGAATTGAATTTTAAGAAACATTCAATTATTCAATAAATTATTTATTTTCGTATTTAAATAATTCAATTCTCGAAGAATTTTCTAATAAAAATTGATTTAAAAATGAATTTCAGTTAAATTTTGAGAAATAATTGAATTATGAAATGGTTTAAAATTAAAATCTTGGAAAATTTGAAATTTTCATACTTTTAATTAAAAATTCTGTAGAACTAATTTTTTTTGAAAAAGATTAATTAAAATTTTTTTTAAATTATTTAATGTTTTTATTTTCTAATATATAGGATTTATTTTGAAGAATTATCGAATAATCAAAATTTTGAATTAAATAAAAAATAGAATTGAATTGTATCAAATGGATTAGAAAATTTTCAAAGAACTTTTTCAAAAATTATTAAAAATAATTGATATAAAGAAGAATTGTAGTTAATAATTCTAGAAAATAATAATTGAATAATATTACTAATATTATTATTATTATTAGTTATAAATAATAACAATAATTATTTTGTAATAGAAAAAAGGCCTAAATTATTTCAAAAATCATTACGAAATATTTTTAAAAAACTGTTTCAAAAAATAGCAAATTAATATAATAATTATAAATTATTATTATAATTATAATTTTTTGTATTCAGAGATGTGAGGAATGATCACGTGGGTTATGGTCGGGCTGCTCCTAGCTGCGGAAACAACGTGCGGCAGAAACGACGTCTCCGAAAATGGAAACGGAAAAGACGAAACGAAGCAGAAAAGCGGCCTGAAAGTGACTGCTGCTGACGAGGAAGATACCTATCGTGAGTTTATTAACTCGGATAGATAAAAACAAAGCAATTTTCTCGAGCTCGAATTTTTTTTTTTCTTTTTGACCATAACTTGAAACTATTCTTCATTTCTCTAACAGAAAAAACTTTTTCGTTTTTTGAAAAAATTTTTTGAAACCATTGGGAATCTACTGTTGTTTAAAAAAAATTGCGTTTTGCCCTTTGAATTTTAACTTCTTTTTCAAATTTATTTCTCTAATATTTTTTTTATATTTATATATATTTTTTTTTATATTTATTTTTATATTCCTCATATTTATTTCTATATTCTTTTTTATATTTATTTTTATATTCTTTATATTTATTTCTATATTCTTTTTTATATTTATTTTTATATTCTTTATATGTATCTCTATATTCTTTTTCATATTTATTTCCATTTCCTCTGTATATTATTTACGTTAAAAAATCGATTCTCAACACGAAATTTAATATTATAATTAATTAATTTCTCACAATGGAAAATTCAAAAATAAAATCAATTTTATTTCTACATTTATTAAATATCTCTATAATTAGGTCATATTTGCGCCTTTAAATTTTTATTTCTTTTCAAGTTCCTATTATTTCTAATATATTCATGACAAAAATTCTTTTGACAAGCAAGATAACATATACTTTGAATAAATAACAGTAGATAAATTTTGATTAGCGCTTTATTCTCGCAAGTAAAAATTTGAATCTCAAAGTTTGAATATTTTCATGGCATATGGAAGATTAAACAATGAGTTTAGCAAATAGTATTAAAGTTTAATATATTTTAATATAGTTTTAGCAAACATTTATTGTTGTGCGTGATTATTAATCTATTTATAAGAATTTCGTGGTTTTAATAAATTTTTCTTAAAAAATTTTTCTTTCCTTTTTTTTTTTTGCTTCCATATCACATGGACCATTTATGTAAGAATGAAAAATTCTGAAGATTTTTTCTGGCACCTTTTCACGCTGTCTTTCATCGTTTTTAAAGTTTGAAGAGCAGTACCATCGCGGGCGAAAAGAAAAAAAACGGAGGAGAGCCTTTTCAGCAGTTTTAGAGCTATGAAAATCTGAAAAGAGTTTACCACCCATCTCGTGTATCATTTCTAAATGGAGAAGTGAACGAGAATTTTTTGCTTGATACGCAATGTCCAGATAGTGAATAATAGATATCGAATATACCTTTCATAGTATTCAATGTCTAGAGAAATTGATATTTTTAAGTATTTTTATTTCGTTTTTCAAATATTTTCTTTTATTTCAAAATATTTTTGTTTAATTAAAAAATTGTTTTTAATGCTAAAAACATTTTTCCTTTTTTTCAAGTAAATTAATTTTTTGGTTCTTTCTTCAGAAATAATTAATTTTTATTTGAAAATAAATTAACTTCTTTTTCAATGTTCCATAAAAACAATATTTTATAGACAGAGCATTCAGGCCTCGGATATTTTTGAATTATTTTTCTAATTAAATTTTTTATTCCAATTTTTGAAAATCAACTTTTGAGGAATTTTCATTGCAAATTTTTGAAATAATTGAATTCTCAACAATTTAAATGAAAAAACCTTCAAGTGTAAATTTATAAATATGAAAATTAATGAAAATTAGCTTCTAAAAATTATATGAAAATATTTTGGAAAAAAGTAATACTTATAGAATTTTTTCCTTGAAATTTTTTAAAATTCAATTATTTTTAATAATTTTGAATACATATTTTCGAAAATTCAAATATACGTAGTAAAAATAATAACATTCAAATTTTTTAGAATTTTTTTTTAACACTTTTGGAGAAAGCAATCATGTTCGAGATTTTTTATGAAAATTCAACAAAAAATTATTTTCTTTTAAATTGTACGAAAATTCTTTAAAGAAATTCAATTATTTTCGTAAAATTACATTGCAATATTTAAAAAAACTGAGTCTTATAATTGTTTCTTTATAATTTTTTAAAATTCATTTTTATTAGATTTATTTTTGTTCCAAGATAATATCGAACAAAATAAATTAAAATTTTTGAAAATTAACATTTTTAGACTTTTTAAAATGTTAGAGAAAATTGTTTTTAAATAATTGAATTGTTTGGGAAAATTTTTGAAAATAATTGAATATTGCCAAGAATTTTATAAAAATTTTTAAAAATAATTGAATATTTGCCAATAATTTTATTGAAATTTTAAAAATAATTAAATATTTGACAGGAATTTCATTAAAATTTTTTTGAAATAATTGAATATCGGAGAAGAATTTTCTTATTTCTAAAGAATCCCTGAAAAAATATATTATTTATAAAAATAATTGAATTATTGCTGAGAAACTTAAAAAAATTTTGTAAATATTTAAATTTCTATAAAAATTTTTACTATTCATGAAAATAATAAAAATTTTGTGTAGAGAGTTTTATAAAATTTTTTTAAGTCCTAACTGAATTCTTTTTGAAAATTTTTTAAAATATTTGTAATTTTGATATCAATTTTATTAAAAGTTTTGAATATAATTGAGTTTCAGACAAGAATTGTATTATTTATAAAGATAATTTATATTTCTAAAATAATTTTTTTTTTATTTTTCAACATAATTATTCTGCAAAGAATTTTATTATTGAACATAATTATTCTGCGAAGAATTTTATTATTGAAAATAATTGAAATTTTGCAATGAATTTTATTATTTAAGAAAATAATTGAATTATTGCGAAGAAATTTTTTAAAAATTAGTAAAATTCATTTTTATTATATTTATTTTTGTTCAAAGATAATTATCTTCGAACAAAATTAATTAAAACTTTTTATTTACTGTTTTAGACTTTTTAAAATTTTGGAGAAATTATGTTCATTTTTAAAATTAAAATTCTTCATAAAAATTTGATTATTTCTTTTTATATTTTTCAAAAATTCAATTATTGCTAAAAGAATTTACTAAATTTCAATTATTTGGAAATTTTTCAATTGTATAAATTATAAACCTATAAACTTTCAAAAATTATTTAAAAATTTAATTTTAAGAATTTCTTTATTATAATTTTTTTAAAAATCAGTTACTTTCAACATTTTTGGTTAAATATTTTCAGTGATACCTCTTAATAACTTTTATAAAAAAGAAAAATTAAATTTTTGTATTTAAATGGTTGGAAGAAAAATTAAAAATAATTGATTTGGATATGAAGTTTAGATAAAAATTGTAGACAATATTTTAATTTTGGAAGAGTTATAATTGTAATTTTAAGAAATTATTACATTTCAGGTATTAATTTAAAATTTTTCTAATTTTATTTCCCATGTAAAAATAAATAATAATTATTTAAATATTTATTTAACAAAATTATTCAAGTATGGAAAAATTGAATTAGAAATCGTTAAAAGGGGAAAATCAGAAGAATACAAAATAAAATTCTCGTGACATTACTACACATGAATTAAATAAACGACTTTTTCGACTTTTTTTTGTTTTTTTTTTAATTGACTAAAGCGACTTTTTTCTCCTTAAAGTCGATCCGAGGCCTGTGCATTTAATCAATTTTATTAAAGTAGATCCCCATGTTTAGTAAATAATTTTTTTTTTTAAAAAACCTTATTTTTCCGAGTACCTTTTTTTTAAAACTGTAAAGGGAGAACCAAAAAGAATTTAATTAATTTATAAAATAGAAATGAAAGGGTAATTTTTTTTGCATTTTATATTCATAAAGCATCTCCGAATATATGTTTGGTTTATTTTAATTTTGCCTAAAAGTCAATATGGAAAAATGTGTTAATTAATCCTTTTAACGTACGCAAAAAAAAATTCATAATTTAATATAAAAATAAAGCTAATTGGATTTTAAAAAAAAAATTATTTTCAGCCTCAATGGACACTCGTTAATTTTTAAAATTTTCGGAATTTAATATAACGAGTTTTTACATTCATTAAACGCTTCTAGATATTTTATTGAATTTTTTTTAAATCGTTGAAATTTTCATAACTGCCATGTAGGTATTAGTTTGAGTATTTTTTTTCTTACACTGCAAGAAAAATTTATTTAATTCAAGTAAATGATTACTTAACTATTGTCCATTAAATATTTATACTTGAATCAAATAATTTTCGATTCAATTAAATGATATTCGTTTCAAATACTCAAATTATTGGTTGAAAAAAAAGATTTAAATTTATTTTTTTTAAATTCAATTAATTGGTTTAAAAAAAATTATTTGATTCAAGTAAATATTTATTTAAATATTTATTTGTTAGAGTAATTGGTTAAAAATGGAAAAGTATAATCGGTTATATGAATCAAATAAATTTTTTTCAGTGTGTTTTTTAATTCCTTTTTTTACAATTTTGTTTTGTAAAAAATATTTCCTCTCAACTTTGTGAGGTGAGAAGGTGCGAAAGGATTGAATTGAATTGAAAAATTTAATAACATTACATGGTTTCTTGATATGGAAAAGTAAATGAAACTTTTTTTATTCACGTCTTATAAATTGAGATTCAGTAGTATTAGTCTTGCCCTATATTTAATTCTATAGCACTTCTAGAGAGAATTTATAAGCTACTGATATTACGAATTCCCTTTTCAGAGTCCTTGCATTTGAAATATATACATATATGCACAGTGGTACAAAAAAAAGGCAACTGTAAATTTTTTTTTTTTGATCACACATATTTGAACTGTACACGTGTGTATATAAATTTCTGAAAGTGAAATAAATATTTAAAAATTTTGCATCTTTTTTTGTTTCAAAAGAAGATTTAAATTTTTTCTTCTCATCACAAGAGATAAAAGGGGAGTAAAATATATGAGAATTTAAATAAATAAGTATTTTAGGGAATTTAATAATTCAAGGAGAAAAGGGAAAAAGAAAAAAAGTGAACTGTGATTCCGGAAGTGTATTTTTTTTTTATAAACGTATCTCTGAATTTTATTTTTCTAATAATTGTATTTTGTTTTTTATTCCTAAACTCCTGGTTGGTTTTTTTTATATTCAAGCTTACGTAATTTAGAATGAGAGCAATGTACTTTTTTTAAAGCCTTTTACCTTTCATCCTCTTGTTTTCTGTCGTTCAGGTCTAACGTGCTACACTTGCGTCAACGTCAGCGATAACCAGGTATTGAAAAGCCTATTAAACACTAGCTAAGAGTACCTAATTCTGTTATCATGTACCTACCAAACACTTTTTTTCTATAAGCATTTTTGTTCTTTCTGTGAAGTCCATACACAAAGGGATTATTTTTTCAATACATTTTCTTCGTTTTAGATGTTAAATTCCTTTCTTCAACATTGATCACTCAATTTTTATTCTTTTGCTTCTCTTTAATTTTTTTTGAAAATTAAATATCGACTGTATTTAATTAAAAAAAAAATTACTCTTTAATTAATTTTACTTTTTATCTTTTTCTCTGAAAACAATGAGAACATTTTTGATTTACTTTAAAAATTTCTCAGTGTACTTTGTGATTTTTTAAAATAATAGTAATAATTTGCAATTTATGTATAAACAAAGAGTAATAAACTTTATCTATTTGCTTAAAATATTTGATCATTTATTCAGACAAATGTTTTTTCCAAACGTAATAAGATTAAAAACTGCTGACTTGGATTTATACGAATCAACATATGCATACAGAAATAAAAAACATAAAGTTTGTCTAATTTACATTAAATACTTTATACTAAAGTCGAATAAAAGATTATTCTTAAATATTTTTTTTCAATTCTCATAAATTATACTTTCTTATAAAAGCTTTTGTTTAAATATTTTTCTTCTTTGCCTTTCGACTTTTTTTCCCTTAAAAAAAGAAAAAATTGCGAAATGCCAAAAACTATTGCATCTTATGTTCCTATCGACGTCCTTATCAGTTTTCTTCTATCACACATTTTTTTATCGTCTGGTTTTCGAACAAAACCAGAACCACAGTAGCATCTGTTGCTAGATGACCTCAACGTTCTAGTGTAATCTTGCCACTTACGTCACCGCCATGCAATACAACTACTAACTCACTGGACGTTATCCTATAGCAACTTCAGAAACCAAACAATATATCCATGATTATGGTCCGGAGGTCGGTTATGGCAAACCTGATACTTTGTTAGATATATATACAAGAAATTGTAATTATACTCGAAAACTTCTTGGATATAATAGCCCCGTATCTGTAATGACATGTTTATTCAATTAGAATAGCCCCCCCCCTCCCTCCCTCCAGCCCCGCAAATAAATCGCCACTTTTGGATAATTTCGAGAAGGTGGTTAACAGTCTATAAAAAATAAAAGAATTGAAAAGGATTTTCTAAAAGGCCTTTCTATGGTAATTATAATCTTCTGATAGTGTTCGGCTGTGGCTGATACTATTTAAAAGCGCCTAAAAATTACAATAAAATTTTCTATTCTACAGAATGTTGTTTAGCATCATCCCAGCAAAAATCTAGGTTGTTAACAGTTTATAAAAAATATTAAAATTGCATGGAATTTAATTTAAAGGACTTTTTATGATAATTATGATCTTCTGCTAACGTTTGGCTGTGGCTACTACTATTTAAAACCACTTTAAAGTTACAATAAATTTTTTTATCCTCCAGAATGTTGTTCAGCTACATTGCAGCAACAACTAAGATTGTTAGCAGTCCATGAAAAATAATAGAATTGACAAGAATTTAATTTAAACGACTATTTATGACAATTATGATCTTCTGCTAACGTTCGGCTATGGCTGCTACTACTTAAAAATTAAAATAAAATTTTCCATCCCTCAGAATGCTGTTCAGCAACATCCCAGCATCAATCTAGATTATTTACAGTCCATTAAAATTATTAAATTGAAAAGAATTTAATTTAAATTTGTTTCTATGACAATCTCGATCTTCTGCTGATTTCCGGCTGTGGTTACAAATATTCAAAAGTGTTTAAAAGTTTCAGTAAAATTTTCTAACCTTCAGGATGTTGTTCAGCAATATCCTAACAACATTCTAGGTTGTTAACAGTCCATGAAAAGTATTAGAATTGACAATAATTTAATTTAAACGACTTTTAATGACAATTATGATCTTCTGCTAACGTTCGGCAATGGCTGCTACTACTTAAAAATTAAATTAAAATTTTCTATCCTTCAGGATGTTGTTCAGCAACATCCCAGCAACAATCTAAATTGTTTACAGTCCATTAAAATTATTAAAATTGGAAGGAATTTAATTTAAAATTATTTTTATGACAATTTTGATCTTCTGCTGGTTTCCGGCTGTGGTTAAAAATATTCAAAAGCGTTTAAAAGTTTCAATAAAATTTTTATCTTTGAGGATGTTGTTCAGCAACATTCCAGCAAGAATCTAGATAGTTTACAGTCCATAAAATTTATTAAAACTGGAAGGAATTTAATTTAAAATTATTTTTATGACAATTTTGATCTTCTGCTGGTTTCCGGCTGTGGTTACAAATATTCAAAAGCTTTTAAAAGTTTCAATAAAATTTTTATCTTTGAGGATGTTGTTCAGCAACATTCCAGCAAGAATCTAGATAGTTTACAGTCCATAAAATTTATTAAAACTGGAAGGAATTTAATTTAAAATTATTTTTATGACAATTTTGATCTTCTGCTGGTTTCCGGCTGTGGTTACAAATATTCAAAAGCTTTTAAAAGTTTCAATAAAATTTTTATCTTTGAGGATGTTGTTCAGTAACATCACAGCAACAATCTAGATAGTTTACAGTCCATAAAATTTATTAAAATTGAAAAGAGTTTAATTTAAACTTCTTTTTATGACAATTTTGATCTTCTGCTGCTTTCCGGCTGTGGTTACAAATATTCAAAAGCGTTTAAAAGTTTCAATAAAATTTTTATCTTTGAGGATGTTGTTCAGCAACATTCCAGCAAGAATCTAGATAGTTTACAGTCCATAAAATTTATTAAAACTGGAAGGAATTTAATTTAAAATTATTTTTATGACAATTTTGATCTTCTGCTGGTTTCCGGCTGTGGTTACAAATATTCAAAAGCGTTTAAAAGTTCCAATAAAATTTTTATCTTTGAGAATGTTGTTCAGTAACATCACAGCAACAATCTAGATAGTTTACAGTCCATAAAATTTATTAAAATTGAAAAGAGTTTAATTTAAACTTCTTTTTATGACAATTTTGATCTTCTCCTGGTTTCCGGCTGTGGTTACAAATATTCAAAAGTGTTTAAAAGTTTCAGTAAAATTTTCTAACCTTCAGGATGTTGTTCAGCAATATCCTAACAACATTCTAGGTTGTTAGCAGTCCATGAAAAGTATTAGAATTGACAATAATTTAATTTAAACGACTTTTAATGACAATTATGATCTTCTGCTAACGTTCGGCAATGGCTGCTACTACTTAAAAATTAAATTAAAATTTTCTATCCTTCAGAATGTTGTTTAGCAACATTCCAGCAACAATCTAGGTTGTTAGCAGTCAATAACAAATAATAAAATTGAAAGGAATTTAATTTAAACGTCTTTTTATGACAATTATGTTCTTCTGCTTGCGTTCGGCTGTGGTTACTACTATTTAAAATCGTTTAAGAGTTATAAAAAAATTTGTTATGCTTCAGGATGTTATTCAGCAACATCCCAGCAACAGTCTAGATTGTTTACAGTCCATTAAAATTTTTAAATTGAAAAGAATTTAATTTAAACCTCTTTTTATGTCAATTTTGATCTTCTGCTAGCGTTCGGCTGTGGTTACTACTATTTAAAAGCCCTTAAATATTACAATAAAATTTCTTATCCTTATTGATTTCGTTTAGCATCATCTCAACAACAATCTTGTTTGTTAATAGTCTATAGAAAATAATAAAATTTTATTATATTTTTTATTATATTTTTATATTACTTTAAATTTAATTTGATGCAATTTGATATCAATTTGATACTTTTAAGAAGTAGTCTGTGTCCTAGATATTATAGTTGAGAATTTTAGGACTAACTTGTCCTTGTTCAAAATTTGTCTTACCTCAGTATGGTACTTGATCTCATTAAGATATCTGCTAAGATCTACTATAGTCTCCTAAGATTAGGAGACATTCTCGAAAGCCAGTTTTGGAAAGTTTGCTATTTTCTGAGGACCTCGATCTAATTTCAGAACGCCGACACTTTTGTCTCTTTTGCGCATAATATCTGCTTCTGGAAAATTAATACTTTACTATAGAAATTTCTTTTTGTTTTTATTTCCTAGAATCTAGTAGGAGATGTTGAACAACCAACCGTACGATTCAAATTTAATTTCGTTTTTATTTTGCTTCCTACTCATATAGTACAGTTTGATAATTTTTGCTAACATCTAATTATTTATTTATTGAATTCAATTATTATTCAATTATCTATTGAATTGAGGGTAATTCAAAATTGTTTCTGTATTTAAAAAATAGTTTTCTATCTTTCAATAGATGTGTAACGAATGGGCGATAGACACTCCTTGTCCGACGGGTGGCAGAGATTTCTGCCGATCTCTACACATCTTAGATAGTCTCGGAAACAGCGTGTTGGTAAGAACTAAGAAATATTTCAATTTCAACTTTTGATATTATAATCTTTCCAAACTTTCTAAACTTAAAAAGAACCTATTTTGAATATAGCCAGATACGAACAGGAGAAAATATGGTAATGAAAATATTTTCACAGTTTGTCTAAGGATAACAAAATTGAGACAAATAACGAATCAAAATTTTTTGTCTCAATTTAATATCTGCAGAAAAACTGTGATTGAAAATAATCTTAATAAAAATTTTTCCCTTCTTTTCACCCACGCATATATATAATGAATGTGAGAATATGCAGAATACTAAATAGATATAATAACAAAGGAGCACTAAATCAATTAAATTAGTCATACTGATCTTTAAATTAATTAAGATTGTTTTCAAAACATACCAAATTCAAAACTTACGATCCTCAATAGAATATATACATATGTATATATGCGTGAAATGGATGGCCTCGATAAGTAACTTAGGGATTATTTCACTCCCAAGTTTTGGCGATAAATCACCACTGTTGCCTGTGATTCTGCACTGAAAACTTTGCTCTATTACTATATATATACGCTCTGAATTTCTTAGAATGGAATAATTAATGTGAATGATGGAATCGGTATGCAAAAAAAAAACAATTTCCAATAATAGTTATCTTTTTTCACTACCTCTTTCTCTCTCTCTCTCTCTCTTCTTTATCCACTAGAGGTTCATTAATATTATATAATGTCAATATTTTAAAAATTTACAAAAACTTTTAACATGGAACAATTTCTTGTAGATTTTGTAATTTAATTTTAAAACTTGAAAGCGCAACAAATTGTAGCTTGACAATCATGAAAGTTGGTAAAGTTTTACGAAAGCATAAAAATTCCTAAGTATATTATAATAAGAGTTGAAGATTCTCTATGTGGAATGGAATATAAAATTTTTGTATAAATTCAGATAAAATAAGTGTTTAGCACTGTGAAAAAAGTATACTTAATTTTTATAGTGAGGTATGTATTTGTGGTGAATTATTCAAAAATAGAGGGATGGTGACAAATTTTAGGGGAAGATTCTTGCAGGGAAATATGTACATATGGATATAGCAATATATTAATGTATAAATTATTGAGAGGATTTCGCCTCCTGGCGCTTGCGCTCACTCTCCTCTCTCATGGGATTATTAGATTGAGTTAATTAATGGCTAAGGTTGGTGGTTTATCAACCAATGAGAATACTGTAGTAAACAAAACACTAAATCTTCTAATTTAATGTCTACTGGAATACAAGTTTTCTAATAGCAAAACAAATATTTAAAAAATAAGAAGTAGTTTCAATTTTGAATTTTATTGAAAACAACTTGCAAACTTTCATTTCCGTGAAAAAAAGTATTTTTTTGGTTCTTTCTTAAAAAAAAAATTAATTTTTATTTGAAAATAAATTAACTTCTTTTTCAATGTTGCTTAAAAACAATATTTTATAGAAAGAGCATTCAGGCCTCGGATATTATGACTTTTTCGACTATTTTCAAAAAATGCGACTTTTTTTGACTTATTTTTAAAAATTGCTACTTTTTCGACTTTTCTTCCAAGTTTTGCCAAAAAAACAACATTTTTGGTATAAAATGCAATTTATTTTGATTTTTATAGTGTAAAAAATATATAATACAATTAAAAAATTTTTTAATAATTAAAATTTTGTAAAATTTAACTGAAAATAATTGATTTTTCCAAGTATTTTATTACAATTTTTGAAAATCAACTTTTGAGGAGTTTTAATTGCAAATTTTGAAAATAATTGAATTCTCAAAAATTTCAATGAAAAATCTTCAAGTGTAAATTTATAAATATGAAAATTAATGAAAATTAGCTTCAATTCTTTTCAATTTCAATTACATATTTCCGAAAATTCAAAAAATAAAAATAATAACATTAAAATTTTTTAGAATTATTTTTGACACTTTGAAGAAAACAATCATGTTTAACATTTTTTATTAAAATGCAACAAAAAAAATAGTTTCTTTTAAATTGTACAAAAATGCTTTAAAGAAATTCAATTACTTTCATAAATAATAAAATTCATTGCAAAATTTCAATTATTTTGAAAAATTTCCAAAAGGATTCAATTATGTAAATAATTGAATAAAATTCTACACAAACATTTAATTATTTTCATGAATAGTAAAAATTTCACGAAAATTCAAATATTTACAAATTTTTTTTAAATTTCATATAAATAATTTAATTACTTTCATAAATAATAAAATTCATTTCAAAATTTCAATTATTTTCAACGATAATAAAATTCTTTGCAGACATTCAATTATGTTCAAAAATTATTCAAAATTTTTTTAGAAATATCAATTATCTTTATAAATAATAAAATTCTCCTTCCAAATTCAATTATTTTCAAAAATTTTTATAAAATTCTTTGGCAAAATTTCAATTATTTAAGAAATTTTTAAAAGAATTCAATTATTTAAAAAAAATTTTTAATAATATTCTTTACAAATATTTAATTATTTTCATAAATAATAAAAATCTCACAGGAAATTAAATTCTTTACAATTTTTTTTATAAATAATAAAATTTTCCAGAAGAATTCAATTATTTAAAATAAAATTGTAATAAAATTGTACCCAAACATTTAATTATTTTCATAAACTATAAAAATTTTACAGGAATTCAATTACTTATAAATTTTTAAATAAATTTCATCGCAATAATTCAATTATTTTCATAATTAATAAAATTCATTGCAAAATTTCAATTATTTTCAAAAAATAATAAAGTCCTTTGCAAAAATTTAATTGTGTTCTAAAATTTTCAAAAATTCTCTGAAAAATTTCAATGATCTTTATAAATAATAAAATTGTCCTCCGAAATTCAATTATTTTCAAAAGTTTTAATTAAATTCTTGGAAAAATTTCAATCATTTACAAAAATTTTCTTCAAGAATTCAATTATTTAAAAAAAAATTTTTTAACAATTTCAATAATAATTCCAAAAATCATTTAAAAATATATTTAAAAAATGAATTTTAAGAATTTTCTTATGGTAATTTTTTAAACTCAGTTGCTTTCAACATTTTTTGTTAAATATTTTCAGTAATTCATCTTAATAACTTTTATAAAAAAGAACCACAAACAGTTACAGTTACAATAATTATAGAAAATTGAATTTTTGTATTTAAATAATTGGAAGAAGAATTAAAAATAATTGATTTTGAAATGAAGTTTAGTTAAAAATTGTAGAAAATAATTTAATTTTTGAAGGGTTATAATTGTTATTTTGAATAAATTATTAAATTTCAGAAGGTTTTAATTTGAAATTTTTCTAATTTTATTTCCCATGGAAAAACAAATAATAATTATTTAAATATTTATTTAACAAAATCATTCAAGTTTTAAAAAATTTAATTTAGAAATCAGTGAAAGGAGAAAATCAGGAGAATACAAAATAAAATTCTTGTGACATTTCTGCATATGAATTAAATAAACGACTTTATCGACATTTTTTGTATTTTTAATCGATTAAAGCGACTTTTTTGCTCCTTAAAATCGATTCTAGACCAGTAATATTCAACAAATGTTAAATTTTAGAAAAAAATAATTTATTTTTAAAAAAAGTGTCTTTATTCCTACAGTCTTGAAATAACTGAAAATAAAATTATTTAGGTGAGCAAAAGTTGTGCGAGCAGCGCCGAGTGCGGTCCAGCATCAGTTGGCTGTATACCCGTCGATACGCAGAGGGTACGAAATATCGAATTTTACGTGATCGCACGATCCTAGTAGTGAAATAACGATCCAGCGTGAAATAAATTCGGTTATTTCGTTCCAGATTTGCATCAGCTGTTGTGACCTAAGCTACTGTAATGTTGATTCACCAACGAATTCAACCAATGCAATTTTTTCACGTAAACGACGCACGAAATCAAAGGCCAAACGGAAGCGACCCGGCAAAAATGGGGTCGAGTGCCTCAGTCGATTTTCCAGCAGCTTCCTCTGGCTCGTCGTCACACTCCTCTATGCATATCATTGCTGAAGAAGCAACTAAAAACAACGTCACTCAATGGTGTACACACCGAATCTGGAAAATTCATTAGACAAAATAACCAAAAAAGTTGTGAAATTTGAAAAATCAGAGAAAACATATTCCCCCAAAAAACATATTGTATATCCACACATCCAAACTTAATTACCGATTTAAAAAAAACAAAAAAATTATGTGAACTTACTTGAACGTCTTAGGTACTATTTATTTAATTAAAATTTTTCTTGTGGATATCAAATTGAGACAAAAAACGTATCAAAATGTTGTTTCGCAACTATTTTTTTACGTTTTTTGTCTCAATTTGATATCCACAAGAAAAACTGTAAATCAGGGAATTAATTTTTTTGTGGCAACCCTGTTTTAACTTCTTTTATTTTTAACTTTCCATCTTTTTTCCCCCCCTTGAAACAATGTAGTGTTAGTGTGACAATACTCTAGAACTAAATTTTTCCTCTCGTTAATTCATATAGGATTTTTGATCGAAAAAAAGCATTAAAAAACAAATGGGCTATTTCTTTTCTTGGCACATCGTCAGAAATTTTCTCTTATATCTTTTAACACGGAGAAAAAAAAAGGAAAAAAAAGAATAATAAAATTGAGTGAACTTGCTGTATATATAAGTACATACATATATTACAATGTTCTTTATAATAAAAAAAAGAAGAAGAAGAAGAAGAAGACTTACGATTTATATACGTAAAGAATTTCGATTTCAACTATAGTAAAAATCTCTCACAAGGCGTTCAATTTTGTTCAAAATTACAGCGCGCCATGTTGCGCCCCATCTGACACTATTACTATTATATACACATATACATATTGTATATATACATATACACACCTGAATCTATATATACAACCCTCAAGGATGGAAGAGATCGGAAAATAGATATTATACACCTATTTATACTAATTCAGAACTACAAACCAAAATTTCACTCAATAGAAATTCACTTTCGCTTTATCACGTTAGATGAAATAATCTGCAAACAACTCCATATGGACTTTTTAGAGAATTCCTCTATTATATTATATAAATATAAATCTCAAATATACATAATCAATTTTTTAACTTTTATTCTGAATTCTACAGAGTTGTTTGTGATATTTTATCCAATAAAGATAAAAGTTGTTATCATTTTGAAAGAAAGATGTTAATAATTGTAATTCTTGAGAAGTGAAGAAATGTGACGAAATTTTATTTTTGAAGAAAGGTACCTAAGAAGCAAACGATTCATTACATTTTTATTTTTTTGTTACATTTATAAAAACTAGTTTCGAATTTACGTATTTAAAAAAGGGAAATTTAATTTAAGCCTAATTTTTAGGTTATGTTTACAAAATTTTTAGTAAAAACACAGAAAGAAATTGTCTTTCTTCATTTTTACTCAAGTATTCTAAACATAAAATTTTTTCTTCTTAGCTACCATTTTTTGGCGGCGTCACAAAATTTCTTTAATTGTAAATAACATTCTTTTTTAAATTGCCACCAACCGTTTGGAAAGATTTGAAAAATTCCCTAATTAAAATTATTTTATATTTTATAAATATTAATATTTTTAATTAATATTAATTCGAAATTTTATTTTCGACGAGAATTCGGATCGAAAATCGAATCTTTCCAAATGGGCCAGAGCAGTATCGTAAATATCGCACAAATGTTGAAAAATGAAGAAAAAAATGTTTGTCACGAGCAGTGAAGAAAGGTGGATGAAAAAAATTTTAGGTTATGTTTGTATTTTTCAAATTCGTAAAAATTAGACTTGGGGAAAATGGAAAATAAAACCGAAGTGAAGAAAGAGGATTAATACACATTTGGTTTAAATCATTAGGTGAAGAAAAAAAGAAGATATTTTTTATATAAATTTGTTTAAAGAAGAAAAGTTCTTTTTCTTTAATTAGGAAAAAACGAAAATTAATTTCTATATTCAAATAACTAAAATCGAATGAATTTAATTCAATTAACTATATTACTTCAATTAGCTATAAATCCATCACAAACATAACCTATAATTCAGAGGCTAGAGTGCACCTTTCTTCAGTGCCGCTAACATTTTAAAATTCGTTGAATTTTTCGAATATTGAAACAATGTTACAAATAATAATAATTGAAGTCCGAAATTTAGCAACTTTTTCCATTCTAACAAAAAAAAAACGAAAAACTAAATTTTTCATTTAGCTTAAGTGAAAAAAAAAAATTTTCTTCTTTTATCAGAATTTTAATATACTTTTCCGTATGTTTAATTATAATTCTAATTCATTTATTTAATTTTGTAAAAATTTATAAAATTAATTTATATAATTTATATAATTCATAAAAATGATTTATATCATTTATATAATTTATAAAAATAATTTATATTATTTTTTCAAAATAATTTATAAAAATACTGCAATTTATTTATATAAATTACAAATAAAATATACACAGCACCTGAACATACAACAATATTTGTGCAAAAATGGCCTAAAAACATTGAAAAGAAAGAAAAAAATTAAAAAAAAGAATCAGGGTTATTAATTAATATTACTGGAACTTCAGGTGTTGTGTGCTAATAAAAAAAAGAATTTTAATTTGGAATATTTCCAAATTTAAAAAAATTATTCAAATACTTCCCAATAATAATAAGAAATTGATATAAAATTACCAGAAAAAAAGAAATTTACTTGCTATTTTTTAAATTTTCTTGAATGTTACATGAATGATAGAATTTTATATATATACAATGAATTGGTCAGCGTGCGCAATTGTTTGACATTAAAAATGTCAAATGAACAAGGAATTGTTTTTTCTTCTCATTAAATAGAAAATTATTGTAATAGTTGCTATGTAATTGCCTTGTTAAAATATAAATTGTTTAGAGAAAAATGTGATTTGAAAAGAAATGTCTTTTCTTATAATAATATAAATATATAATTTGTACGTGTATAAAAAAAATGACTAATACAGCATTAAATACCCGAATATCGAGTTTAAAATAGTTTAATAGTTTAATAATTAATTATTACAATAATTAAAAAAAATTATAATTATAATTATAAAAATTAAAAAAATTATAATTATAATTATGAAAATTAAAAAATTATTATTATTATAAAAATTATAATTTAAAAAAGAATCATTTTTCAAAAGCTCGATATTCGTGTATTTCATATATTTGCAAACAAGAAAAAAAAAAGATGTAAATTTGAAATAACAAAATGCAAAGTACGAAAAATCAATTAATAAACGATAGGACAAATTTCCAATTTCTGCATTTGTATACAGGTATAATGATGAAAAATAAATCATGTTGTAAATTGAGAATAAAAGAAAAAAACATATTGTATAAGGATATAAATTATACACCCAGGGAATGATTTGAAGTGCGCCGAATAAAAAAATAAATAACAAAACAAAACAAAACAAAAATATGGGAAAAAATGTTAATATATTGACTCGTGAAATTTTAGATTAACAATTACCATGCAAGATTTAAATTATCGATAAACCAAAATGATGCGTACATAAAAGCTATTTACATATTATACCTACTGACTCGCCTACTACAAACTACTATTATATTGCTATATTACGATTATTATTATGACATAGGTATATTATGACATAGAAAACTATACACTGTTTCAGTGAAATGCTAAACACTGTTGGTAAATGAAATAAAGTGAAAATTATACTTGTCATATTCTTATCATTCCCATTTTTCTCTATAGAATCTTTTCTTTTTTATTTTTTAAAAAATATTATAAGTATCATTTATTTTTTATATAAATATATTTTTTTTGTTTTTATATTGTTTTTTGCAATATTTTTACATACTTTATGTATTTTTATATAATTTTTATATTTTTTTATACTTTTTTTGTATTTTCATATACTTTTTATATTTTTTTTATACTTTTTGTATTTTTTTATACTTTTTCTATTTTTTAATACTTTGTTTGTATTTTTATACACTTTTTGTATTTTTTTATACTTTGTTTGTATTTTTATACACTTTTTGTATTTTTTTAAACTTTGTTTTTAATTTTATAATACTATTTGTATTTTTTAATACTTTTTTTGTATTTTTAATTTATACACTTTTGGTAATTTTTAATAGTTTTTTTTTGTATTTTTATATACTTTTTGTATTTTTTTATACTTTTTTTGTATCTTTACATACTTTTTGTGTTTTTTTAAAACTTTGTTTGTTTTTTTATACACTTTTTGTATTTTTTTATACTTTTTTTTATTTTTTTTACACTTTTTGTATTTTTTAAATACTTTTTTGGTATTTTTTTACACTTTTTGTATTTTTATATACTTTTTATATTTTCTTACACTTTTTTGTATTTTTATATACTTTTTATATTTTCCTACACTTTTTTGTATTTTTATATACCTTTTGCATTTTTATATAATTTTTTTTTATATTTTTTACCACCAAATGGGGCAATTTGACAAAAGTGGGGTAATAAGTAACAGGACTTAAAATTTTAATTCAAGATGTTTATTATCGACGTTTTTGTTGTCTGATTTTTGTGAATCAGACATTTATTCATTACCATATTACCCCAATGTTACTAATTGCCCCATTGGACGGTGTACTTTTTGTATTTTTACAAAATTTTATTGTTTTTATATAATTTTTTTGTTAAATCTTTGTTTTTTTTTATTTTTTATTTTACTTACTTTATTTGTTTATTAACTATTCTAATTTCGCCTTTAATTATTTATTATTCTGCGTTTTTTATTTTCTTTAAAAAAAAAAATTTATTTGTTACAAAGAAATTTTATTTGTTTAAATAAAAGTTTTAATTTCAAATATATTTTATTTAGTTTTAAAAAAATTTTATTAGGTTCAAATAAAAGTTTTATTTGATGCAAATTTTAATTTGTTTTTAATAATAGTTTTATTTGGTGCAAATAAATTTTATTTAGTTTAAATAAATTTTTATTTAGTTTAAAACACAAATTTTATTCGGTTCAAATAAATTTTATTTAGTTCAAATAAATGTATTTAGTTTAAATAAATTTTTATTTAGTTTAAAGAACAAATTATATTCGGTTCAAATAAATTTTATTTGGTTCAAATAAATGTAATTTGTTTTAAATAAAAGTTTTATTTGGTGCAAATAAATTATATTCGGTTCAAATAAATTTTATTTGTTTAAAATAGAAGTTTTCCTTTCAAATAAAAAAAGCTTTATTTGGTTCAAATAAACATTATTTAGTTTACATTAAATAAATTTTATTCGGTTGAAATAAATTTTATTTGTTTCAAGTAAATTTGATTTGTATAATTGATTTGTTTAAAATAATCGTTTTTTTCAAATAAAAAAAATTTATTTATTGCAAAGAAATTTTATTTAGTTTAAATAAATATAAATTATTTAAGTATGAAATAAAATAGAAAAAATATAGAAAATGAAATAAAATATAAATGAAAATAAACATAAAAAATGAAAAATGAGAACAATTGTAAATCAAATGATAAATGATACAACAATAAAAAATAAACAACAATAAATAAATAAATAGACAAAAAGTGTTTAAAAAGTTGGATTTTTTTAGTAAATAAAAAATTTTATTAGATAAAAATGTCAGACAAGTCAAATTGTAAATAGAATTTTAGGCAAAGGGCAAAAAGATCGAAATTTGAGAAGAAAAAGAAAAACGCGGAATAATAAATAAAGGCGGTAAATTTAAACTTACCATCAGTTGTTAATTTCAGATTGTTACCATCCACAAACTACTTAGTCAAGTATTGATAACTTAGCGGTCTACCTTATCAACACTCGAATAAGTAGTTTCCAGATGGTAATTACAGAACCTTTCTTCAAAACTATTTTTCAGTTAAAAATCTACCATTGGTGAATTTTTAGTCATCTACTAATAAAAAATTAAAAAAAAATAAAAGTAAATAAAAAATAAGAAAAAATACAAGTGCTTCAAAAATAAAGAACATTTTTTACCATACGAAGAATTATCAACTAATATTCCAAAGGAATACCAGATGTCACTGGAAATTGCACATGCGCTTCAGTAAAATCTATATTAAAATGGAGGAAGAGAATCAAGTCTTGGATCGAGAAATTAAAAAAGACGAAAATGAGGATAAATATGGAACATCAGCGAGGTAAGTGAAACAATTTATATTTCTAAAATCATTTATTATTAAGATTTTTATTTTCAATTATTACACATTGAAGCTATAGTGAAGTTGTTTTCATGTATCCACACCGGCACACTAGTTATACTAGACATGAACACTTCATTGGTCTTTCTCTCTCTCTCTCTCTCACTCACTCACTCACTCTCTATACATATTCCCTGTGAGCTGAATTAACTTTAATACCTATATCAATACATCACCACATTCTCTGCACTCTCATATGCTTGTACCAATTTTTACAAGTTGGTGTTAATGAAGCTGTTATTGATTATTACAAACACGATATTCTCGTTGAGGGTATTTTTCGAAATTTTACACTAAGCTATAAACAATGATGTGTTATTTTTCACTTATGAATATAAAATATTCATTACTTGAAAGTACATTCTTTTTATTCATTATATTCATTATATTCATTACTTTCATTTATTCATTAGTCGAAAATATCAGATTAGTATAGAAAAATAAAGAGTAGATTTATTTGCAAACAAAAATTTTGGTTTTGAAGGAAAACTCTTCGATTGCTTTCGGTTTGATGATAATACACTTCTAGACACTGGAAAATATGTTAAATTAGAACAAGCAGGTTTCGAAGCAAAGTCGTTTTTAGACAGTCAAGTAACTAATGAAGATTCTGGTTTTGGTGTTCAAAATTAATTTCTTGTGTTAAATGAATTTTTTTCTTTAATTTTACAAGAGTGCTTTTTCTTTTTCTTTAATTTCCGTAAAAATTAATGATTTCTGTAAAATTAAAGAACATACTTTAGTTGACTTTAATATCTTTAAATATTTAATTTTTTAGGTAAAGATGATTGAAGTAGAGCATTACTTCAATTTTCTTTAATATTTTTTTAAGAAATATTTTATGATGGTTATTTTAATATGTTATGTTACTTACTTTAATACATGGTGTGTTTTACTTACTTTAATATATGGTGTGCTATTTACTTTAATGTATGTTAATTTATTTCGATAAAAATATAGTGCGAAGAAGCGCAATCGCAAGAAGAAAAATCAGACAAAATCTGTTGGCGATGATCATGAATCCGGAAGTCGAGAAGAGATAGTGATTCCAGGCAACTGTAATGTTTCGATTAAAGATATTCAGTTGGCAATGGACGCTCTTAATCTTCAACAAAAACCGGCGAAAACTCAAGAAGAAGCACTGCAAAAGTCTTATCAATTTTGGAGCACACAACCTGTACCTAAAATGGGTAAAAAAAATCATTATTTGCTTTATCTTGAAAATTAAACTTTATACCCAGAAAAAAATAAATGTTTGATTCAGAGCCAACTAGACTGTTTATTTGGTTCATAAAAAATTTTATTTGGGTCAAATAAATTTTACTTGGTTCAACAAAAATTTTATTTTGTTCAAATAAATTTTATTTGGTTATTCAGATTACTTGCCTTTTAGCAAATAAATATTTACTTGAATCTAATAATTTTTATTTGATTCAAATAACAGATTACTTGGCTTTTAGCAAATAAATGTTTACTTTGATTAAATAATTTTTATTCAAATGGAAAACAAATTCAAATAAATTTTATTTAAAACAAATACCATTTGATTAAGTCAAATAAAAATTATTATATTCAAGTAAATATTGATAATAGACAATTAATCCGTTATTCGAATTAAATACATTTTTTTCAATGACTAAATTATTTGAACCAAATTAATAAATTTTATTTGGTTCAAAGAATTATTATTAGTTGGTTTATAAATAAATTTTATTTGATTAAAATAATTTTTAATTGGTTAAAAAAAATTTGTAACGGTAGAAATAAATTTGATTTGTTTCAAATAAAACTTTATTTGGTGTAAATAAATTTTATTTGTTTAAATAAAAGTTTTACTTTCAAGTTATTTTGATTTGTTCCAAATATATTTTATTTGTTTCAAATAAAAGTTTTATTTGATGCAAATAAATGTTTTTCAGTTCATATAAATTTGGTTTGTTTCAAATATATTTTATTTGTTTAAATTAAAAGTTTTTTTTGGTAGAAATAAAGGTATTATTTTTGAATAAGGAAAATTTATGTGTCTTAAATAAAAAATTTATTCAACACAAATAAAATATTCTTTGAACCAAATAAAATTTATTTGAAACAATGATAAAAAGTATAGTAGATTCTGAGTCAAATATATAAATATATTTTTTTTTGTAAACAATAAAATAATATTTTATTAACAATATTAAAATTGCTAAATCGACGAAATTGTTAAATTACAGATGAAAAAATTGTGTGCAATGAAGCAATTGAAGCTGATAGAACAAGCATTAGAGCGGAACCTTATTCTCTTCCAGCGGGTTTTCATTGGGATACGCTAAATCTCGATGATCCATTAGTTTTGGCAGAATTATATTCATTACTATCGGAAAATTATGTCGAAGATGACGATGCAATGTTTAGGTTCGACTATCCACCAGACTTCTTAAAATGGTAAATTTTATTAATTTTGTAAAAAAAAAATTTTTTTTATCAAATAAAAAAGCAAATTGTAAATTTTTTTCCTTATTGTTAACGAAATTATTTTTTGTTTTTAAGGGCATTACAACCACCAGGTTGGAGTAAAGAATGGCACTGTGGCGTTCGTGTAACCAGAAATTCACGACTTGTAGGATTTATTTCTGCAATTCCTGCCAATTTACGTGTTTACGAAAGGTTTACTATCAATTTTGCCTTATTTTTTTTTCATTAAAGTATAACTATATTTTTGGAGAAAAAAAAACAATTATTGTTTAGAAAAAACAACTTTTTTGAGATTTAATTAAAAGTAGATCAATAAATATAGATTTCTGAAATAAAAATAATTATTTTCGAAGAAAACAACTATTTTTGAATAAAAAAACATTTTTTCTTAATTCTTGATTCAAAAAAATAACAATTTTCTTGAACAAAAATGCAAATTATTTTTCCAGTGTTCAAAAAATGGTCGAAATCAACTTCCTCTGTGTTCATAAGAAATTAAGATCGAAAAGAATGGCTCCGGTTTTAATTCGAGAAATCACCAGGAGAGTAAATCTTCAAGGGATCTTCCAAGCAGTTTACACCGCTGGAGTTGTACTGCCAAAGCCCATTGCCACTTGCAGGTAATTTTTTTTCAATTTTTTCGAAACTTTCTTATTTTCTATTATGAATAATAATTTTTTTTTAATTTTACATTTTAAATTCGATTTAAAATTTCTTTAAAAAAAAAAAAAAAATTGTAATATCTTTTAGGTATTGGCATCGCTCTCTTAATCCAAAGAAACTTATTGAGATTAAATTCTCGCATCTCTCGCGTAATATGACGATGCAGAGGACTCTAAAATTGTATAAACTGCCGGAGAATACGAAAGTTCCAGGATTTAGAAAACTAGTTCCCACCGATGTTCCTCAAGCTCATAAAATTCTATTCGACGTAAGTTTCAAAAAATTTTTACCAAATATTTCAACTGTGCTCGAAAAATAATAATAATATCAATTAATATTATTATTAAAATAATTATTATAATAAAATTAATACTCTCTAAATCTGAATTAGAAGAAAGTTACTAATGAAATGATGAAAAATCGCACACCAAATGATTTAATAATAATTTTACTATCAATTAGTGAATTTTTTACTAATTTTTAGTAGAATTTTACTAAAAATTAGTAGAGCTGTTGTATTAATAGTCGATAAAACAGTTATATGACTCAGAGATAACAATATTATTTATTTGTTTTAAATAAAAGTTTTATTCGACATAAATAAAACTTGTATTTGAGCAAAATAAAATTTTATTTAAACCAAATAGATTTTATTTGAAACAAATAAAGTCTAGTTGGCTCTGAGTCAAATATATATATTTTTTATTACAATTTTGAAAAAAAATCAACTTTTGAGGAGTTTTAATTGCAAATTTTGAAAATAATTGAATTCTCAAGAATTTTAATGAAAAATATTCAAGTGTAAATATAAAAATATAAATTAATGAAACTTAGCTTCTAAAAATGATATTAATATATTATAAAAAATTTAATTTTTGTATTTAGATAATTGAATTCTCGAAGAACATTCGAAAATTGATTAAAAATAATTGCTTTTTTAGAGTTTTTGCTCCTTAAAGTCAATTTGAGATCAGAGAAATATTTCAGTATTTAAAAAATGGGAAAAGTCTTTTTTGAAAATTAATAACAATTAGTAAAATTTTAATATTTGTTGGTAGAATTTTACCAAATCAGATTTAGAGAGTGTTACACTGAAATAAAAAATTTATTTTATTCAATTAACCGATTACTTGATTATTAACAAAAATAAATATTTAGGTACTTGAATTAAATAATTTTTAATTTTTTTTTTAATAATAATTTTCAATAAATTATATTTAATAAGCAATTAATTGACTTTAGAATCAGTGAAAAAAGAAGTCATAGAATATTATATATTAAGGATCAATTAAAATATGTCATTTTTAATAAATTTTAATAATTTTTATTTAAGTTAATTAAATTGTATTTGAACAAATAATTTCAGTATTTGAAGCAAATATGAATAGTATACAAGTAATTCGTTATTTGAATGAGTTAAATTTTTTTTAGTGTAAGTAAATATTTTTATTTACTTCTTTCTTAAGGAAATTAAAAATGTAATTTTTGAACTTTTGCTTTTTTCAGTATCTAAAAAAATTCGATTTAGCACCAATGTTTAGTGAAGATGAATTCCGACACTGGTTCCTACCGCAAAATGGCATCATTAACAGTTTTGTGGTAGAAAATGATAACAAGATTACAGATATGGTTAGTTATTATACTCTACCGAGTTCTGTGATGCATCATCAGACTCACAAAACTTTGGTAGCTGCGTATAGTTTTTACAATGTTTCTACAGTTACTCCCTGGGTGGATCTAATGACCGATGCATTAATCTCAGCTCGTAATGTAAGTTTAAATTAATGTCCTTTCTGATTTATTAAATAATCTCTTTTTTCCAAGAGGAAACTATTTTTTACAAACTAAAACAATTTTATTTTTTTTAAAAAACAATTTTCTTCTTTTTTAAAATAATTTTCTATTTTATTATTATATTTTTAATGTTTAATAATAAGAAACAATTTTTCCAGCTTGGATTCGACGTTTTCAATGCTCTTAATTTAATGGACAACAAGGAGTTTCTGGAGCCTTTGAAATTTGGAATAGGCGATGGTAACTTGCAGTATTATCTGTACAATTGGCGTTGTCCAAGCATAGAACCAGAAAAAATTGGTTTAGTTCTTCAGTAAAAAAAAAAGAAAGAAAAAAGTTAAAAATTATTCATTATATGTTCAAAAAAAAAGAAATTTGTATGAAATGAAAATTTACAAAAATAATAAATAAAATAAAGTGGAATTAAAAGTAAAAAGAGAAAATTTTACAGGATTGTTAATCGAGATTTTTTGGAGTAGCGATTGTAGTTTTGTTTCTATTATTTCAAATATTTAGGATTTCTCTTGATAAAATTTTACTCATGTAGAAAGTTAAAAAAAAGAGAAATACCCCCATGGTTTATAAACAAAGACCGAATGATTACACTCCAAAAAGAAAGAATATTTATAATTAACATTTCTTTTTTTTTTTAAATCCTTTTTTAAAAATGCTCCAAGTGTAAAATTGTATATACACAGGAACACATCCATGCATATAAAATAAGCAATGTAGAAAAGTTACTTTATAATTATAGAAATATTATTAAATTTGCACAGAGATCGTCGATGAAACAAAATAAAAAGAAAAAAAAATCTCTTTTCCATTATAATAATAAACACGAATTTTTCTGATAAAATATTTGTTGTGAGGGTTAAAAAAAAATCTTAGTGTATGTAGTTGATTTTTCGATGCTTTTTCCATTAAATGTTTTTGCAAAAATGAAAAAAAATAGTAGTGAAAAAAGAAAGTCACGCCTAGGAGAAAATTTTCTGATAAAACTCGTTGAAATAAATCAAGATTCGTTAAAAATAAAATATGCGGAATTTATTCCCTTTTTTCATTAAATTAATTAAAAAAAAATGACAATTTTTTACATTTAATTTCAGATCAAAATAAGCATAAGATTATCTGTGTTCAACAAAAAAATTGTAGTTAATAAATTACACACTATTTCTGAATTTTCAGGACAAAAATATAATTACAAATGATGTATCGGGATATTTTTGGACTCCATTGTCTGTAATGAAGCCAAAAAAAGCTTTATCGGGCTATTTTTGGACTCTATTGTCTGTAATAAAGCCAAAAAAGTTTTATCGTGCTATTTTCGGACTCCCTGGATCTAGAGAAAGCATAAAAAACTAGGTCAGGCTATTTTTGGACTTCATGGATCCTAATGAGACTAAAAAGCTGCATCGGGCTATTTTTCGTCTCTATCACTTCTAATGAAGCTAATAGTGCTGTGTCAGGCTATTTTAAGACTCCCTGGGTCAGGAACAAACTGAAAACGCTGGGTCGGGTTATTTTTCGACTCTCTGGATCCAAAAAAAAACTTTAAAAACTTGTATCAGGCTATTTGTAGACACCATGGATCCTGATGAAGGTAAAAGTTCTGTATTGGGTTATTTTTGGACTTCCTGGGCCTAGAAAAAGCTTAAAACACTAGGTCGTGCTGTTTTTGGACTTTAATGGATCCTAAGGAAACTAAAAAAACCGTATCGGGCTATTTTTCGACTTCATGGACCGTAAGGAAGCTAAAAGTGATTTATCGGGCTATTTTTGGGCTTTAATGGATCCTAATGAAACAAAGAAAGCTCAATCGGATTATTTTTTTACTCTATTTATCCTAATAAAGATAAAAGTGCAGCATCGGGCTATTTTAGAACTGCCTGGGCCTAGAATAAGCAGAGGACACAGGGTCGGGCTATTTTTGGACTTCATGGCCCTAAAAAAGCTAAAAACGCTAGGTCAGGTTTATGTTTTTATTCCTTTTACCCAAATAAAACTTAAAATGCTGTATCCAATTTTTTGGTCATCCTGAGCTTACTTAGGCAGAGTTTAAAACACTGTCAGGCTATTTGTGAATTCTCCAAGCCTAAAAAATTTGATGAAAACATTAATTATTTTGTCTCAAAAAGTTCGAGCGGGTACCTTTGGACTCTCTCGGCCAAAATAAATCTAAAAACACAGTATCAGGCTATTTTTGAATTTCCTAGGCCTAGAAAAAGTTAAAAAGGCCGAGTCAGGCTATTTTTGGACTCCTTGCTCCTAAATAAAGCTAAATCCGCAGTATCAGGCTATTTTGTTATTCTCTGATACAAAATATAACTATAAAAACGATTTGATTGATATTCTTTTAAAGATTTTAGGATTATATAAACTAAAAAAAACTCTTTGTCTGTTTACTTTTGGCCTAAATAAATCTTAAAAAACTAAGTTGTGCTATTTTTTTACTTCCTGGGCCTAGAAAAAGCTGAAAACACTGAGTCGTGCTGTTTTTAGATTTCTTGGTTCCAAATAAATCTAAAAACGTAGTGAAAACGCCGTGTTAGGATATTTTTTTTACTCTCAGATCCTAAAATAAGCCGTAAATGATGTACTAGATTTTATTGTTTGGCTCCTTCAGCACAAATGATGATAAAAATTATGTGTCAGGCTATTTTCGTTCTCCATTGGCTCTTTGGAAGCTAAAGATGCTACATTGTGCTATTTTTGGACTGCTTAGGCCTAGAAACACTGGATCGGGTTATTTTTGGACTCTCTGATATTAAAATCAATAAAAAACGTTATATTAGACTAAAAACACTTTAATATCGATCTATTTTTTGATTCTCTAGTTCTAAATACAGCAAAAAACAAGTTATCATCCCGATTTTTATTTATTGTGCCTTAATGAAGCTAAAAACACTTTGTCGTGTTATTTTTTGACTCTCTGGGTCTAGGAAATGTTGAAAACGCAAGGTCGGGTTATTTTTGGATTTTTTTGCCCCAATTGAAGATAAAAACTTTTTATCGGGCTATTTTTGGATTCACTGGTGTCAAATAAAGCTGAAAACACTTTATCACATTATTTTTTTGACTCTTGGGTCTAGATGATGTTGAAAACGCTGGTTCGGGCTTTTCTTGGATTCTTTGGCATTTAATAAAGCTAAAATACTTTATCGGGTTTTATTTTTGAGTTCTTTGATCTCAATTGAAGCTAAACAAATTTTATCGGGCTATTTTTGCATTAACTAGCGTCGAATAAAGCTAAAAACTATTTATCAGGTTATTTTTTTACTCTCTGGGCCGAGATGATGTTGAAAACGCTGGTTCGGGCTTTTCTTGGATTCTTTGGCATTTAATAAAGCTAAAATACTTTATCGGGTTTTATTTTTGAGTTCTTTGATCTCAATTGAAGCTAAAAAAATTTTATCGGGCTATTTTTGCATTAACTAGCGTCGAATAAAGCTAAAAACTATTTATCAGGTTATTTTTTTACTCTCTGGGCCGAGATGATGTTGAAAACGCTGGTTCGGGCTTTTCTTGGATTCTTTGGCATTTAATAAAGCTAAAATACTTTATCGGGTTTTATTTTTGAGTTCTTTGATCTCAATTGAAGCTAAAAAAATTTTATCGGGCTATTTTTGCATTAACTAGCGTCGAATAAAGCTAAAAACTATTTATCAGGTTATTTTTTTACTCTCTGGGCCGAGATGATGTTGAAAACGCTGGTTCGGGCTTTTCTTGGATTCTTTGGCATTTAATAAAGCTAAAATACTTTATCGGGTTTTATTTTTGAGTTCTTTGATCTCAATTGAAGCTAAACAAATTTTATCGGGCTATTTTTGCATTAACTAGCGTCGAATAAAGCTAAAAACTATTTATCAGGTTATTTTTTTACTCTCTGGGCCGAGATGATGTTGAAAACGCTGGTTCGGGCTTTTCTTGGATTCTTTGGCATTTAATAAAGCTAAAATACTTTATCGGGTTTTATTTTTGAGTTCTTTGATCTCAATTGAAGCTAAACAAATTTTATCGGGCTATTTTTGCATTAACTAGCGTCGAATAAAGCTAAAAACTATTTATCAGGTTATTTTTTTACTCTCTGGGCCGAGATGATGTTGAAAACGCTGGTTCGGGCTTTTCTTGGATTCTTTGGCATTTAATAAAGCTAAAATACTTTATCGGGTTTTATTTTTGAGTTCTTTGATCTCAATTGAAGCTAAACAAATTTTATCGGGCTATTTTTGCATTAACTAGCGTCGAATAAAGCTAAAAACTATTTATCAGGTTATTTTTTGACTCTCTGGGCCGAGATGATGTAGAAAACGCTGGGTCAGGCTTTTTTTTTAGATTTTTTGGCCTCTATTAAAGGAAAACCCCTCTTTCGGGTTATTTTTGAATTTTTTGGCCTCAACGAAAGTTAAAAAAATTCTATCAGGCTATTTTTGGATTCACTGGCTTCAAATAAAGCTAAAAACACTTTATCAGGCTATTTTGTAAATCTCTGATACTAAATGCAGGGAAAAAACAATGTATCAATACGATTTCTATTGATTGTGCCTCAATAAAGCTGAAAACATTTTGTCAGGATATTTTTACACTCTCCAATAACCAAAAATCAGCTAAAAATCCTACGTCGGGCTATTTTCAAATTTCAAACCGCCTATTGCTCTAAATATAACTATAAAAAGCCTAAATGGATTTTTTTTCAATCAATTTGAAACTGAATACTATAAGTGGAATACAAAAAGGTAATTAAAAATTTTACTATCCCTAAAAAACACTTTTAAAAAATATTAATAAAATTTGACATGCGAAAATAGCAATGTCAGTAATTGGCGTCATATTAAATCATCCATAGTATAGGCTCGCCGATTAACGTAAAATGCTATTTGGTATGGCAATTTAACTTGAAAAAAAAATTATGTTCGCAGAATGAAGTGGGTAACCGAATTAGGGAGCTCATCAATCGAGAATCTGGACGGTCTCTCTCATAATTTGGGGCAGTTCGAACGATCATAATAACAAGGACAAGTGCCAGAAGCTAAGGGACTACCTGGAAGAAATACAATATGGGACCAGTAGTATATATCTAATATCAAAAAAAAAGAGAAAAGAAAAAATCAAAAGGCAGTCTAATTTAATCACACCCAATTATAACTAATAGATTCTATTTATCCACATTTTGACAAACTACCAAATTTTTAAATTCGGAAGTAACTTTCTCTTTTTTTTCTCTAACATTCACATTTTTTTTTGTTCCCTTTTAATTTCGTTTTGATTATTTTACTTGTTTACTTATTTTTTTGTTTCCCTTTCTTATTTCTTTATTTTTTGTGTTTCTTTTTATATTTTTACTTCTTTTTTAATTCGTTTTAATTCTTTTTAATTTTTTTAATTTTTTTAATTTTAAAAATTTTTTAAATTTTTTTAATTTTGAATTTAATTTTATTAAAAAAGGACTTTTCGTTGGAAACTGTATTCAGTGAATATTCGTATATATTGTTCGTTTTAGAGTGAAAGTATGAAATAAATATTCTTTATTTTTTCATTTTGCAAATATAATTCACGTGTGGGTGAGAAGTTATAATATTGAGAATATTGGGTGGTCTTGAAAGGAAAAGTCGCAAAATTATTATTACTCATCGGGAGTAAAGAGAGTCAGCTTGGTTTTATTAAGAAAGATACCGTGAAACGAGTTCCTGTAATAATATCAGCCACGGTACCTGGCGTACTGAAAACAAGTTTCGGAATGTCACGTCCAATCTTAACGAGGTTGTGAAAGACACGAGGTCATTCATCGGAACCAAAACAGAGTTTGCTTTAGTTGATTCCGAAAATTAACGATTAAAGCTTCTGTTTGAAGACAAAAAAAAAATATCGGGAAAAAAATTTTTTAATCATCTCTCTTCTCTCATTATTTTCTTATTTTGTTTTTAATTCCTTAGGAAAAAAAGTTGAGTAGAC